TAAAATGTGTTTTAATTCAAAATGTTTAGTCAAAGTGTGTCGCCAAAAAAGTGCTTTAAAAATTTTACCACAATTCTTCGGATATGGATTTCTAATTCTAATAAAATTGAGAAATAGTAAAAAGACGCGATTCAGCGCTGAAAAAAAACAGTAAGGGAAAGACAATATAACTGCTTCTAGAACAATCTTCTATATTTTGTTTTTATACCTTTACCTACACGAACAGAGTAAATAATAAACATCTTGTAGAACATTTATTGACATTAGTAAATAATTTCAAAGACAATGTATTTTTTCCATTTTATTTACCTTTTGTTATTTTTATGAAATGTCAATAGCACACTATAAGCTTCTAAGCTAATATGACTTGTATGTACTATAATACTTTTTTTTTTAAAGCAACACAAAAGGTATAGATGGTTGGAATGAAAAAAATCCGGATTATTATTATTTTATACATGCTAATGCTCAATCAAGAAAATTAGTGATATTTACTCGATTTCATTCAGTCGATACAAGTAAATGTTAAGGCTATAACTAAATGTTTACAAATAAATAATAAAATAATGTACTGTATCTTATTGCATTATAATAATGATAATATGTTGAAACATTTAATCGTGGTGGTTATGCGGGCCAGTAATGCTAAAACCATATCCTTATGGATATGGTTCCATAAGGCTTCTGTTTTTCCGTGGAGCAAAGAAAATAGACATTTCGAACTGTAAGTTTCGCTTTTGGTCGTATTAAGTATACAATTCCCTATAAACGACATTACTCTTCGCTAGGATAATACAAAATACCATGATAATGTGATGGCAATACATTTACAGCTTACATCAATAATTGATAAATTTGCTTCTAAATTTAGCTCAAAATGTCACTATTTTTTTTTTTAAATACAATTTTTATAAAACATTTATTAACATTAAAAATGTTTAATCAGAGGTAAACCCTTAAAAAGTTCCAGAACAACTTGTAATTAAAAATAAACAAAACGGTTTCTAATATAATGCAAAAGTTTATCAAACGGAAACCTCAATCTAAAGCTTGCTCTTTTTGAGCATAATTTGTGTTTAAAGAATATCAGGACGGGAAAAAAGATAATCAATCTATTACTTTCATAAGCTTAAAAACATTTTTGGAAATCATTTTATAATTTTTTTACATAACCTCTCTAAAGACGTGTCCGTATTTTTGTTTAATATTTAAAAAATTGAATATAAATATAAAATAAATAAAACTAAATTAAAAGCAGTTACAAACTGATGAAGGGTCAAACTAAAAACGCTCGCAGGAATTATTATTACGATAAGATTTCTTCTCTTCGAATATAACGTAGTTAAAATTTTATTAAGACACGGCTCGTTAAAAAAAAAATCTTCTTCTTCGTATAATATTATAAGTTAAAAAAAGTTAATGAAGCCAATTACTGAGAAAATTTCCAGATGTTTAAAATAACTCTAAAATTATATTAAGGCGAATATAACTGAATGCACAGTCTCGTCAAAAAAAAAATCCACCCTTGTGTCTAATGAAATGACTACCAATGTTTCGACTTTGTAAACCGTATTTTGTTTTTGGGTTTTCAGGGCTACATTTCAATAAAATGTATGATGTATTAAAATAATGTGTGGAGAGTTTCTGTTGAACAAAATACTAATTTAAACGTGGATTTTAAAACCGAGATAGTGAAAATTATTGTATAAGGATGAAAAAGAAACGCAAAACTAAAAAAAAATGTTCATCAACTTTGTTGCTGTGATCCCAGTTTACTTGCAACGGGTACCTAATAATAAATAATACAAATAAAAACGTCTAGAATTGGTTGAGACTTTACGGCTAGTGTTAAGAACTTGGAATTTATGTACATAAATCATAATAGATAAAAATTTAAAGAGACTATGGAAGTGTACTCGGAGAAAGTTTTCGCAAGGATTTTAAACGCTTTTATTGTCATCGAGCAAAAAAATAATCAACTTTCAAAATACTTCTAAAATATAGCATAGATTCATACTGCTTTAAGTGACAATCGACATTTCTATCACCATCTAATCAGCCATACCTATCCTATTAGTCAATATTCTTATTATTCTATAACATATAAGCTGATTTCTTACAATTCCCTTATTTTATTTATTCTTACACACCTCCCCCCTTTTATTTCGTATCGATTTCGATTGGACATGGAAAAAAACATATTACATATTATATTAAAAAAAAAATTTGTCATACGGTGTAAAAAAAATGAACTTTTAACTTTCAACGTTTAATGCTCGACGAAATTGTAAACATATAAAATAATTTAAATTACTGAAATTCTTTTTTTAAGATAATAAAAACGTCGCCCTTTTTGGTATGTATTATATTTTACATTATATTGGTAAGTTCTAGATCCGAAGCCGATGCTGAGAAGATATTGATTTTACAATGAGTTATTTTTTGTTAGGTAGTTCTTTTTAGCTTCGATGCAGAGGTAAAAGTTGAAAAAATTTACTTCTTCACAGTCGAAATTTGAAAAAACAAAAAAAACCCTACGAGTTTTTAAGTTAGAACTTTTACTGGCTATAATTTCGAGAAAAAAAGTCGGATCGAGTTAAAATTTATAAGGAATATTTATTTGGTACGTCCGCACGCGGCAATTGTATCAAATTTAAATTAAACCCATTTCCCCCCCCCCCCCAGAGTAGGTTCAAGTTTTTTTAGTTTTTTAGCCGTAATTTTAGGTCCTTTAAGTTAAATATTTGTCAGTAGTTAGAACTCATATGTATTCATAACATATTAAACGGAAAACAAATTCGGCACTACAGTTTTTTTTTACCTGCCGGAAAACTGTGTTTTCGCAGATGTTTTAGCGGCGAAGGTATTGATTAAGCGTTTATTTGAAAGTGATTTTATTCAATTTTATCACTTTTATTTATAATAATTCCTGTAGACCCGCGAACTCTCCATCCCCTCGTTACTTTGATTCCATTATGCCTATACTCTACTGTACTAGTCCTCTCGGATAAAATCGCTTTCAAATTAACGCTTTGATGCTTATATGTAAATACAGCACCTCAATTTAATACTTTCTAACTTTGATGGTTTATACTGTGCGTCCCCACTATGCCCCGACCTCGCTGTACTAGTTTTTTAAAAATAGTTTTACCCAAAGCAACAGAAAATGTATTTTTACTATAAACTATAATATTATGTATTATATTCTTTTTCCTCCCACAATAACTGCGTCCATTCTATAATATTCCAATATTTTCTACATACTATCCTACAAATAAACCCACCACAACCGTCTTTCTTTTATCTTCGTATAATATTATACCTACTGACTAGTAGATATTCCTTTATTTGTGATTACAAAAATGTCAAAACTATGTTTATATGTGAATTTTACTATGGTAATGTAACCACTGTCCTCTTAACGATAAATAAATATATATCATATTTTTATAATATTGTTAAATGTACTTATTTGTGTTCGTATTAATTGATTTGTATTGTGTTTGATTACCATTTGTTTTTCATTGAACTTTATTATTATATTTTGTTTCTGTTTTGTATTGTGTTTAATAATATTTGCTTTGTACTGTGCTCTACTATTATTATTGACTTTGTTTTGTGTTGTACTGTTTTTCAAATTATTAACCATGGCCTCATATGACAAAGAGCCGTGCCCAATGAGAATTGTGGATGATCTCGGCAGTGCATTTACCTTGGGACTCGTTTGCGGAGGAATTTTCGAAGCGGTAAAAGGATTCCCAAACGGACCGACCGGTTTCAGAAGGCGTTGCAACGTGAGTGTAAAAATCACAAGTAACCAAATCAGAATTTTTTTTTTTTTTTTAATATATTGATATTTAATTTCCAGAGCGCTTTTCAATCGGTCACCACCCGAGCTCCAGGCATCGGCGGAAAGTTTGCAGTTTGGGGTGGACTGTATGCGGCCATAGAATGTACAATGGTCGGCATTAGGAAGAAGGAAGATCCCTGGAATACCATACAGCAGTGCAAGTCTAGCCTACAACGGAAAATGCCAAAAATGTCAAATAATGTGTTCTTAACAATATCTTTTTGTGTATGTATCCCTTTATCTCTGTATCTGCTTCTTCTTATCCATTAATCATTTTTGTCTGTGTATCTTTATAACTTCTTCTTCTTCTTATCTATGTAACATGTTTGTACATTATTCTTTTTTGTGTACGTATCTTTCTGGTATCTTTCTTCTTTATTTATAACTTCTTCTTCTTATCCATTTACCATTTATTGTGTATCTATCTTTGAATTATTTTTGTATATTATCTTTTTTCTATGAATGTAATTTATAATACGTGTTAAAAAATATATAATTGTTATTGGAAAAAAAAAATAGGACCGGTACAATTACTAGACTACATAATAATGATAATAATATTTCTTTACTTACGGAGTTAAAACTACATTTTGCATTATATAAAATATAATAAGTAACATAGATATGATAGTATTTGCGGTTTTGCAGATTTATATTATATAACATACATTAATGTTTTTTTTTAATCTTACTCCCTTGTACAATAATCGCTATTTCGCCGAAACACGTTGTGTCGATTTCTCAACACGCTTATACTATACATGTTTGTATCGATCAGAACCAAAGTCGATTTGGTACTTAAAGGTTTCAAAAGTAAAAAAAAAAACCCACACTTCATTTAGTATTTTTTCTTACATAGACTCGAGAAGAAAACACATACAGTTTGAAAAAAATTATAAATGTCTTAATATTGTAAAATGTCCACATTGAGAGGTTAAAAAAATACCAAGGATAGAAACGATTATTTTTAAATACTTACTATCGGCTTTAAGAATACCCTGAAAATAACAACCCTCTCTTTACAAAATGCAAAACCCTTTAAAAGGTTTAAACCTAGCGTATATTTCCCTTTTGGATCATTTTTTCTTTGTTCAAAATATATACCACAATATAAGTTTGTATTATAGTCTATATCTGTAGTGGTACTCACTCTTTAGAGTCAAGATCGACTGGATCTTTGGATAATCTGTACTTGAGGTTGTGACGAATATCTTGAGATTCATTACTTAGACGACTGGAGGCAAGTGAAGCTGGGAGCAACATGGCTGTTTCTACAATTAAAAAAAATATATATATAAATAAGTAACAATTAGTATACATAAAAATAAATAAATCAATTTAGATAACAGTTTAGAAACGCTTATGACAACTGACACGCGATGAGTAGAAATAAAATTGACCTGCGGTTTAATTAATTGTTTAAACAATTATTAAAATAATTGTTCAAAAATAGTGTGAAGCCTTATTATGTTTTATTTGTGTAACAAAAAATTTAGTGGTAAAAATCTATTGTAATTTGATGAAAAAAAATCCTGTACAAATGGAAAAGATACTGAAAAAAGACCACAATTATTTTCAGAGGAACTGAACATTTTTAGCATGAAAATACATCAGTACAATATTAAACACCAAAACTCTATCTATCTTTTGACATGTGTGATTTTTGATACAAAATGTTTAGTGCTAAGTTACTAAGCCATTCAAAAATGCCTTCGTAAGCATTTAGATAAAGTATTAATATTACAATTTTGCGAACCAGTATTAAATAATTTTCATACCGTGATATAACCTATAGGAAAAACAATAAACCTACACGTCATTCCATAAACGAAATAATTAACTTAAAATGTTTGCATTCGGATGTTAACCACAGCAAACTGAGGATAGGAATAGGATTTGCATTTTGTTGTTGGTTTTATACTCGACGGATTGTATAAGCTTGCCCTCTTATATGACTTGGTTACACAAGCGGTAAACATAATGGTAATTTCCATATTGTTCATTATGTTTGCCACACACATGCGTTTTAAACCAATAAAGCCTTATACAGGCTGTTTCATTAAGTATAAGACCCCAGCTCATCTTATTTTTTGTCTCAAAATAATCACAATATTGGTGTTTTTCTTTTTGGGTCACTTTTTTTTAACGTTACATTACAATATTGTTTTTCCCCCTTTTTTGTTCTTTCCTGAGCGCTATCAGCATTTGAAACTTAAATGTTATATTTTTTTATTTACTTTTAAAATCAAGAATTTCTGAAGGTAAAACGAAAAAAAAAACCGTAACTAAGATTTTATTTTATTTCGATTTTAACCGAAATAAATGTCAATTGTTTTTTTTTTACAAATTACCGAGTGATATATAAAATTGCATTAAAAAAATATAGTTTCTTGATGTTGACAAAAATGTGGAAAAAATTGCCGTAATTCAATAATCGTGTTTGAATTAAATTAATTTTTTTTTATTTTTCTTCGACTTTTACTGTATTTAATATATACCATTTATCGAGTGAGTCGAACAGCTTTCATCATCAGAGTTTGATATCGAGCAAGTGAGTATTAAATAAGTAATAGACAAAATGTAAGTGATACTGTTGAAATATAAGTATAAGGTATGGGGTGACTAGATAGTAGATTATAATACAGGAGTTTGGGTAAGGCATGAAAGGAGTAGTTTGGGAGTGTTTCGGGTAAAACGTGAGAGATCAAAGGGATAGTATAGAAGGAGATTTAGAGTTAGAAGAAACCGATCAAAGAAACAAAAAACCTCTGCGAAATGCATCCATTTGCGTGAATTGTAAAACTCAAATAGCCATCTAATTAATTTAGGAAAAAACATAGCTAATAAAATATTACAATATGTTTAACGAAACCATTTTAGTGTGTATAATATGTATAATCAATAGAGCAGTTGGCGACCATATTACACACTTAAATCGTATCAATCTCATGTCACGGTCACCGAGTGCGAATGCGAGACAAGTATAATAATGCATTTTCCAATTGCTTTTGTCGTCTCCCAAAGGTTATAAGTATTGAGTTACACATTGTTATTAAACGCGAAACGTGATTCCGGTCGTTAAGGGAGAAGATATTGTGTGTCATCATATTCGGCCGAATAACGCCGGGCGCTTCCTTAATCAAATTCTCGGTTAAAGACTGTCAACAGTTGTTGTTACGGGCAAAAACCTACACACAATATACAGTCAATGTTAATTCAATATTATAATATATATTATTATTATCATCAACGCACGAGACCAAAAAAAAAAGAGTTTGACAATACCCACCCGACACACTACCGCGCAAAAACATAAAATGAAAATAAAAGTGTCGTCATTATTGTTATTAATTTATACATATATGATATATTTGAAATAAAACAATCTGTTTTCATAAACAATATCAGCCGCCGATATCAAATAACATTAAATTGATATTAAGGTGTCGTGTTGTGTGTTCGTACCGATAGCATATCGGTTCAATCATAAAAATAATACACAACAAAAAAACGAATCATTTTTCTTGGCATTGTGTCCGTGAGCTGAAAAAATTCAAAGCTTTCAAAATTTCATCTCGAACCAATATAATGTTTGTCTCCAAAAAATAATATTAAACGGTCGAGTTGATGAAGGTGTCAAAACTTAAGGAAGGGTTAAAAAAAAAAAATAGTAAATTCAAATTTGATCAACAAATTATGGACGGTTTACCACTAATATTTGCGGAAGTATACGATTGATCAAAGGTGCTTTTACCTACATTGACACATTACAATAAACAATAAACCATTCGATAAAAACAAACAAATACACGAACTACCGAACTCTAATTTTAAGACATTTTATAGAAACTTATTATAGTATAATGTTAGACAGTTGACTATGTCAATTATTAATTTCCATTCGAGAGGAATTCGGCTGATCGAAATTTTAATATTAAAATCAATTTTTAGCCAAAAACCAGACAAGAAGGTTTTTGATAAATACGATAAACCGAAAACGGTCGGTCGCAACGTTGACAGATTTAATTAAATCCGTTTTTTGTTTGAAATGCCACCGAATAGCATTCTCGTGTATTCGGACGAAAACAACATAATCCATTTGAAAACATCATCGGTCGTCTGCTGTGTTTGTCAAAAAACCGTCTGAGCACTAAACGGGAAGAAGACATATTTTGTATAAAACGAACAAACGATCTTGTTGTCCACCGTTTACAAATAAAATCAAAGATGGCAGCCATTTCGAATCGGTGGACACACATTAGAATGTTTTCAGAAAAAAAATGTCTACTTACCCCTCTCCTCTGGGGGGGGCCCCAGATCCTCGGCTAAACTATCTAGTGAAATATTTCAGACTTCAAACACTACTTCAAATAATAATAAGTAGTTACTTTTCACGCCCCCGAAACAGGGGCGACATTTCAGTTTTTCATAGGGTGGGGCCAAATTTTTATCGGCCCACCGTTCATTCACAAATATAAATATTTTTTTTCCAAAACAGTAATAACACAAGTTTTATAAACCTTCATACCTATTATACTCGGTAGTCAGTTCATCACTAAAGGTAGGTAGTTGCATAAAAAGACGGATAATTTACGTATCGGAAATTTGACCAGCCCATAAAAATCAAGGGTGGGGAAAATGCCCCCGCCTGCCCCCCCCCCCCAAATGACGCCACTGCCCCGAAACTCTGTCGAAAATTGGACCTTTTCACCTTTTCCGCGTGTAGTTTTGCTGACGCGCGATTCGGTCTTTTTATAGTCGTTAGACGCGAAATCCGTATAGAACAATAAACGGCGCCGAGTGTAGGCAATTTTATAGCACCTGAGACTGCATGACGCCGACGGGTATAATCGAGTAACAGCCGGGAGCTTTTATATCGAGCGAGCCGCTACACGGCTTCTCCGCGGTGGTACTTAACCGTGACTTGTTTCTCACTGGTGAGGAGACGGCAACACATCTTCGAATTGCAAAAATATCATACTGAGATAGCAGCACACAGACTATATGAAAACCAGATAGCTCATGCCGGCCGTGTAAACAAAAACCACGACGTCACGTGATTGTCAAATTGCATAATAACATCACAGATCAGACAGGAAGAAATTATCTTATCTTGTCAGTTATCATTATTAAATCTTATTTTTGATAACGAGTTTGTACAATATTAGTGTAAAAAATATCTTTACAAAAATGTATTCTAATTCATGCGGCTACACACTGATATGTTCGCGAGTCCCTATAAGTCTTTTCATATAGTCTGTAATAGTAGTGTCATGATGGTGTAACACTCTCCCCCCCCTCCCCGCATATCACATAAATAAAAACACTAAGCTTATGACGACTTGTAAGTGTTAATGTTATTTTCATCGCGTTTTCCGATTCGACCAAAAGACCAAATTGCTATCCATTTAATATTAATAAAAACGGTTGTGTCGTTAAAAAAAAACTGAAAGATAAAGTGTGGCGGCTGAAACTACTTTTCAACAATTTAATAGGTACAAATAAATAAGGATTTAATTTTGATATATATTTTTTGGAAACAAAGTTTACAATATAACGGAAAAATATATTCGTTTTGTGAAGGTTTGATATATATACCCGTTACAATTGCAAACAAGGAGGTTTGGCCTTTTTGAAATTATTTCAAAGACATTATAGTTGGTCGTTTTGTCGTGTTAGATTCTGTGGACCGTCTAAATTTTATATCCTATAACCTAAAATTGCGTTTGGATTCAAATAAAATATAGATGTAACCGCCGGCAACAAACAGTAAGGGTTACAGTACTTTAGAATACTTTTTTTTCTACTACCTTTTTTTAAGTTGGTTGGACAACGCTTGATCTACAAGAGACTTGTATAAGAATTTATACTCCAAACATTTATTTTTGCTATTTGATAACGTAACTGATATTATGGTTTACCGACGAAAACAATTCTGTGATATAATCGCTGCACACATTTTTCAAGGCAACGCTTAATACTCAAGTGGCAAGTGGGGCAATTCGTTGCTTTCATTTTATATTTGACTTCAAATAACAAGAAATATGTTGTTTATAACTTATAATATTACTTATGCTTTTTAAGGTGCTAAAAAAGTCAACTATATCCGACTGTTAAACGTGAACTTAATAATACTTGAATATAGTTGAATAAGTTTAAACCAAGAAAAAAGCGTTTATAATTTTGATAAAATAACTTACAACTACTACCCTATATATTTCCCTCTCCCCCCATGTGAAAAATAGTTCTTGCGCATCTGGTCTGGGAATAGAGTATAGCTTACGTGTGTTTTTTTTTTTAGAGTGGCTCGACAACTTTTTTTATTGGACATTTTTTTTTTTGTTGCCAAATTTATGAGCAAAACGTACAGGTGTGTCTGCGTGTACGCGTGGTGCGCTCTAATTCGGAAACAACCGTTTTGCAAAGGGCTAATTTAATTTTTTTTTTCAATCTATCCTATTACACACACACACACAGGTGGTAAATGTAATTTTCGCGTGGCGTGCGCTCGTTAGTTTGCCATAACGATCATATTGTCATAATTTCGATTGTTTAATGATAGTACACGAACGCATCACGTGGCCTAGGCACCGTCTAATGTGTATAATCTAATGTGTAATTATTCGTCTGAATAACAAACGGGAGGACTTGTTTTTCTTTTGTTTGAACGTACCTTTCAGGGCACTTCCGGGATAGTTTGGGCACCTGGTTCCCATACAAGCCCGTTTCTGGATCAGGGACGCACAGTGTTTGCCGCCGTTCTCAGGCGCCTTGACCACTTGCCTTTTCCTGGTCATCATACCGCTGCCACACTCGGTGTCGCATTCTGTCCAAGGTTCCCATTCCGACATCACACAGTCGATTACTGAAAGTAAAAAAAACAATAAATAAATTTAAAAAATAATAATAATAATACACAGTTTTTTAACAAGTATTATTGTACTACGGCTCGTTCGTTATTTTGCCAGGCACAGAGATGAGCAAAAATGATCAATTTTCATCGAACTCATCAACGGACATTACCCGTTGTAAATGTAATATATACAAAAAGTCAGCACAGCCAAAACTGATATAAAACAGTCTACATGCCGTGTACACAGTATAAACCAACACGTTACATTAGCAAAGTTCGGTCAATTTCAATTATTAAATCTGAAAGTGATTTCATAACAACGTTCAGCCCAAGCCACTCGCAGTATAAACCAGCACACTAAGAAATTACCAAAGAGGAGTCTAGTATCCATAGATTCGCTTGCTAAGTGTCTTAAAAATGTTGACTACTCGTGGTGGTATGATTCCGTTTTAGTTAAACGTTAAAAATTCGTAGGGGGAAAGATAAACGTTTTAATAATGGAAAATTCACAAAAATCTGGATTTTTTTAATTAAAGCGGTTCATAAACGAAACCCAGGGAATGGACCAACCAACTCCTTGTTTTACTCTTTTGAAATTTGACCGTCAGAAGTTTGACAGGCTTTTTGTTCTAAAATAAACATAAAACAGCAATTATAATTTTATGTATGCGAAACGCATTGATAAGAATGCTGTGTCAACAGTGAAAAACTACTATTACTTGGTAGTTCATTTTGCTTTTTTGTTTAAATTAAGTTATTATATATAATGTTTATATAATATTATCAAAATTATACGGTAAAAATATATTAAATCAACCGAAAGACGTTGCCATATTCGAAATCTGTTTCAATATAATTTTTTGACAAATGTTTTTTCCTACCCCAAACATACCGCCTGCAATTTTACGCCTGTGGAAAATAACTAATAAGACAAATTAAAACAATATTATGTTTATACAAAAAAAAAAAAATGAATTAAGAGCAACATTAGAATAAATCTAAATACAAAACCCACACAAAAAGTAAATACATTTATTATGAAAATAATAATAATTAACATTAATAAGTATGACTTAATAACATAAAAATTAATAAATAAATAATTTTTAAATATTAACGAATAAACAAGAATAACTCAGTAATAATATAAATAATTGCAAACAAATACATTTAAGTACATTGATACCTACAGTGAGGTGTTTAATTTTGAGGATGATATATAGGCAAGGGGCACAAAGTGCGGCACGTTTGTTTGATTTAGCCTCGTTGTGTCTTAACAATGGCAACTTTAACGACATTGTCCTCCTCTTGACATAGCTCAACGATTCGACCCACTCTCCTTTGAGTTGGTGGTAAACATTATATTCTTCGATTAAAACCGATTCCAAATTTACTACTTGCTAGACCAACTGTGTAACGCTTTGCCAGCGTCGAACACGGTTTGGAGTTATGGTAATCGAGTCTGGTTCGGGCAACAAACAGTGTTAAACAAAACGGTTGTTATTGTTCACAAGTAATACAGGCCTAACCCCGATTGCTATTAGAGAGCCAAGAGGAACATCACACGTTGAGAGGAAAAATATATTAAAACATATTTTATACACAGCAATGTGGTCTAGAACGTGGCTGATTTTTGCCGTTTTTCATATGCAGAATGACGGTCCAGGCAATTAAAGTAAAAATAACAAGCATAAACACTTTATGTGCAAGCTGTAACCTTAATAAAATGGTATTTCATTCAATAATTTTTCGCGTCATAATATAGTATTATTATGCTTAAACAAATGTATCATTAGGTTTTTTTATTCAAATTATGAATGCAATAAATTATGTGTGAGCGGTCGAAAAAAATAATAACCAAGTCTTTGTTTTTCTTTGTTTACTCGGGGCAGTTAACTTTTATGGAAAACCTTTAAGAAAGAGAGATACACCGGTATATTATGGTTTTTGATATAAATCAAATCTCAACCCTTGTATTGTTCCAAAGTAAATTGCCGGGCTATGGTGTTATGTTCGAGTTAATTTGTGAGCTAAATAATATATAGTTTAGCGTCGTCGCGATAAAGAATTATAAGGTGAAATACCGTTTTAAACTTGTATTAGTTGTTTACATCAACAACTAATAAGGGTACTAAAAAGTAAAAAAATAGATACATTAACAAATATTTGCCAAAATGCGTTTTAAAATAAACAGTAGTATTAACGACAATGTGTACTTTTATGAGTTTTTAAAATTACACAAAAACCATATATTTTATCTCGAGTTGAGTTAATCTACAGAAAAAATGTCAAGACAATTCGAGATATTATTTATTGTACGCGTAGGTAGGTGATAGTAATTTCGTATAGTGATGAAAATTGAAATTATTTTTCGGCCGACACGTTTCAGAATTCACATTTATGTCACTTCCAACAGAGCAAATAACATATTATATCCATGTTGCAAATACAAATGTGTTATGTCAAAAAATAAGGGCTCGTTGAGTCGTATGTGTTATGCGGTAATTGCTATTTGCTTTATTTGTAATGCAGTTTTAACTTTTGGCAAAAATATAGAAGTTCATCCGTCAACAATGAAATTATTATCGTCGGATTTATCGGTTGTGCAATATTTGCTTTGTATTTTAAACAAGTGAAATGTAGTACATATTATTACTGTCAAAGATGAATATCAGCCGTATACTCGAATCGACTACTTATCCGTTTCTAATCAAAGCGGTAAACATGTTATAACATATTATTCTGTGGTTGTCCAAAATAGTTTGCTATACTGCAAGTAAAACTCTGAACCGATTGGGAAACGATTTTCATGAACCAATAATAATGCCTAGGTATTTATAGTTATTTCTAAACTTGAAAAAATATGTTAAATACAAGTTTTAGAACATCATTCCCATTTTATTCAACAGGCTTTATACAACTGTAAAAACATCATATTGAACAAGATCGGCGCACACACATTCTTCCAAAGTTTTATGAATAAAAAAAAAAACATAAAACAAATATCGTTATCTTTTTACTACTACTTCAAGCATTAAGGAATATGATAAAACGGACGACGCTCGTACTTGTTGTATAGCCATAAAACATTTTTTTGGCGAGTCGCAATATCCTCTGCGCCGCCTTCCTTTTTACAAGACATTTTACATCCTTTTATTACAACGGAAAAAAAATAATTTTGAGCGATCGAATAGTACACGGTAGTAAACGGAAACAATAACGAAAAATAACAGCTTGTCCGCGTCGAACGACAAGAATAAAATTGTTCATATATTCGGCCGTAAAAAAAAAGAGAGAGAAAAAAATGTCTCAACATTAACACATATTTTTTGTATTGCCAAGCCAAACGCAGAGAGAGGTATTCAAACTTTTCAAAGTACACCTAGGTTTTGTGAATTTGGAACTCTCTACAATTAGTAGCAAAAAAAACCAATTGTTTACACATCATGCGCGACGTCGCTGTCTCGTCTAACTAGATGATTCAATCTTGACAAAAAATAAAACCTACAACACGTGTCTAAAAGAATAAAAAAAAAATCCCATTACACCCGTACCCGGATTAGCCGGTCGGGGGAACGCCGTGGAAATCCGACGAGACCGGCTTAAACTTTTTGTATAATCAATTCCACGTCGGTATAAATACTCAGCACAAAGCAAGGAGGAATATTTTCATATCGAATTAATTCGTACAACGGCCGAGAGGGGTAAGTTTTTAAAGATATTCGACGGGCGCCAAGGTGTATTGTATGGAAACTTTTCGCTCGTCTCTTCTGTACTCAATCCTCCTGCCCATCATCACTCTTTCTCTCTCTCTCTCTCTCTCTCAGTCAGCCCACTTGATCCCTCTTCCTTAATACCTTAGCATTATGCTTATTTACTTCCTCTCCCGAAGCGAACGAGTCTACGACCGCCAATGTACGAAAACTTTGTTTACCGGTTTGCTCGAGTGACTCTTAACTTGACACAAAAAAAAAAAAATAATAATAATAGAAAATATTTCTACTCGATAAAATGGACGAATTCCTGCCATCAGATTTTTGTTTAAGTCTTAATAATTTAGTCTGTAATTGTATACAAACAACAATCGGATTGAAAGCGCGGTAAGTTCTACAAAATCCTAAAACTACTCCCCTTCTCGAGCGGAATAAAGAAATTTGACTACCCAGTACCCTGTCTTGGGTCTAATAATATACATCAAACAAATTTGTCGGTTTTTAGATTTTGATAGAAATGATAGAAACTCTCAACTTTTGACCTTATGAAGCACTTTTTTGCCACTTTAAATCTTAGGTCTTTTAGTCTTAGGGATTGTTATTATTTCAAGGAATTGCCATCATATCCTCATTGTCAACATTTCCAGTAACATATATGTATGACGTATGCTATATAAAAATATAGTATGAATGTTATAAATAGTGAAACAAACAACATGCTTTGTCGATTTATTATATTTTCAAGCAAGCAGATGTGACAAAAAAAACTCTTCCCGTCCAAAAATGTCCAATTAAAAGCTATAACTTTAAAATAATAATATATACTTATGTTTTAATATTTGTATTTATTTAAATGTTTTAATAATTATATTGCCAACTATACCTTATTACTATTAACATAAAAAAAATAAGGTAGTAAATGATTAAAATGTTTAAAACAAACCGTCTACTTCTAATTGTCAGGTTAAATATATTTATCGGATTCACCGCGACTGAATTAACTGCAGTACATCGAATTCTCAGTGATTATAAGGAGTACAAGATGAGATAACCTAGGTTAAATTACACGCCACAGACCACATGGTTTACATTGCAATACTTCACAATACTGTACTGAAATAGATCTGAGGGATTAACATATGTATTTAGTTTGCCATCTAAGGCAGCGTGTCTTATGAAACAACCGATTTTAGAATGAGCTTCGTTAATTATACGTCATGTAAAAAAATAAAAATAAAAAAAATAAGGATGAGTAATATAATATATTTGAAAACAAAAAAATATCACTAAGTCGTTATC